TCCACATGAAAGAGCTACTCGACTTATCAATTCATTATTAACTATCACACAAACTCATTCTGATCCTAACAGTGTGTTCTCTTCTCTCATTACGTCACTACAGAAAGTAGGACTAAAGAACATGGCATCTAAACTAAAGGAAAATTTAAGTAAGATACAATAATTTATGCCCCATTTATTCAATTATGCATTCAAACAATAGAAATAAAAGGTGGTCATGTTGATCCTAATCTAGAGCAGCAACCATCAGTCAGTAAGGGACCACTTCAACCAGTGGATGTCACTGCACAATCTCATACACCACAACCAACAATCACTGGATCACAATCATCTACTCCTACTACTGTCATTGAGCTCAGTTCAAAGAGTGAAGTTGCTGCCAACATTAAAAGTCTTCATTCTCGTTTTGCATCTCTTGATTCTGATATAAGGGATGAGTTTGAGGAGCTAGTGAAACAGGGAAAAGTGAATATTAAAGCTGTAGCTAGGAGTGCAGCTACTTATTTAAGCATTAAAGTATCCAGTTTGCAATATGATGACATTGATGAATTATTTGATTCTCTTCAGCCTCATTATGATTTCTTCAGCTGTAGTGGTGTACTTCAACACTTAGCAAAAAAATACCTTGCAAATGCACAAACTGAACTAACTCAATACATTGATAGTGTTGACAAATTCTCAGAATCATCACAATTGAAGCACATACGATCAACAATCAAAGAGAAATTGTCATCATTACCAGCAGCAGCCTCACCAACCACTAGCGACCAAACAAAACCAGTCGTTATACAACTAAGCGACAGATGGGATGAAATGACTCTAACTAAATTTAAAAGAGTCCTTCAGTATTACTTTGGGCATAAAGTAGCAGATATTTCTACTATAGTGGACATTGATTATGGTTCATTTGTGATTACACTGTCAATACCAACCTCACTATCACAGTCTCTTATTGATGCTATCAATAACAAAACAAACTCAATGAGTAGATTAGGAGTATTGGAAGTTGCTGTTGACAATAAAGCGATTCCTATCAGAAAAAAAGACGATAATAATTTTGATGTTTCTCTCCATGAATCAGTTAAAGCTGGTAATAGTTTTGAAGTATCAATGCTACTGCAGTTAGGAGCTGATCCTAACAGTAAAGATGAGAGAGGAAAGAGTGCAGTAGAGATAGCTAAGCAACGAGGACACACTCAAATAAAAGAAATACTATTAGCTGGTGGAGGTGAGTTATTTGATACTTACATTGTATATTAATACACACACATAATATACCATTAATATCATGCAGGCATTATCAACTGAAGTTATTAAAACTATCAGAGACTTATGAAATCTTTTCATGATATCTTAATACAGTAAACCCTCTATTAACACTCTCTATAGTGCACACCTCCTAATGGACAGTACCTAGTGTACCAATTACATTCCTTACTGTATAAAATAACCTCCACATAAATGACACCTCTGTATAACAGAGACACTTTCACGTCCCATTGTATAAAAGTACCAGTGATTGAGTTTGACAATAAAACTTTATAAAAACAATTCACAAAAACACAATAAAAATTACCGAAAATCATAGTCAGTATAATTGTAAGTTATCATATAGAATCTTCTGCTCTAAAGAAGACAAAGAATGAAAAGAGAGAAATATCATTTAAATGCAAAAATTCAAAAAAGATATACTACATGTATATCCCAACTGAGTTTGACCCAGAAAAAAGCTTTTTATAGGAACGTGGGATAAGGATGAAACTTTCACAGGTTCTTAGTCGCCCAATGCCATCACAGGATTTCAGGTCTTGAGTCTCTCAGCCCTTGGGAACCCTGAGAACCGGGTTCTCCCTATAAACCCGATGGCATACCAAAATGATGTTTTATGACAATTTGTCTATGTCGTAGTTTACATAAGAACATGTAGTCATTTGCCCAAACTGATAATTCTTCTTTTAAAAAGCTAACAGAGCAAGACCTTTTGATAACGATGGCCTTTATGAAGACTAGTTGACTCCAGCAGCTATTGTACTACTTATGAGAACAAACAAAACCCATTTAATAGTGAAATACAGGCCAACCATGCAGCTGTAAAATATCAGCCATGCTTCTATGAATATCATTATAAGACATCATTAGTGATGTATGGCTACATTTTTCAAATTCCAAGCAGCTGCTGTCAAACTCAGTTGGGATATAGTATAATTACCAGATACATGTACATGGTATATGCTTACATTAGCTTGTGCTTTGAAGTTGACTAGCTGGCATAATGGACCAAGGACTATAAAAAGAGAGAGAGAAAGTGAGAATGAGAATGAGAGTGATGAAGGGAGAGAGAGGGAGGGACAATAATTATTGATTCCAATACA